CTGGAAATACGCCCCTCTGAGATCCCCAGGGCAGCCTCAGCAATACTGACCGCCAGAGACCCTGGGAGCTCAGTTCTGCCTTCGGAGAGCAAAGTGGAGTCTTTGCTGCCCACGCCCAGCTCCCCTGGCTCTAGCAGCACAGAAATATTGGCACTGGGAAGAGAGTCTGCCAATATTGGCTGTGCTGCTCTAGGCAGGGTGGTGAGAACTTCCAGAAGGGGCTGAGCCCCGTGGGGCTGAGGGGAGAGGCACCCGCCCGTGGCGCTCCAATGATGTTAGGCTGCAGGCACGGAGCTGAGAGGAGAATCTTTATTGTTTTCGGTATAAAAACGTCCGTCCGATGGAGGTCAAAGGGGCTGGGGGTAGACGCTCATACGGGAACAGCAGAGTGCACAGCCCCAGCAGCCTCGTGGGCCGTGCGCTGCGGGCCCGCTCAGAGTCCCAGGCGATCCACAGGTCCAGGGTGAACAGTGAGAGGGGTCAGAGGTGGAAGGCTCAGCGAGAGAGCAGAGGAGGGTCAGCAGAGGTCACGAGAAGGCCAGAATCCAGGGTCAGGCTGTCTGGAACAGGAAGCAAGATGGGCCGAGACGGGGTGAGCCCCAAGGATGCCTCCAAGGCGACTCCTACCCCCCACATCACCCGGCTCTTTGCTGAGCCCGTCCCCCGCAGCGTGGACTGGAGGACCTTCTCTTCCAGAACCTCTGTACGAGGGGGCAGGGGGCTCCTGTGGAGACCCTCCCCTACCACCCGAGTGAGCGCTTCCCCCCACCCCCCCCCCCGCCCCGCCCCGTAGCTGGTGTGGGAGGAGGAGGACGCCTACCCTGGTCGAAGTTGAGTTTCTTGGCCGGAGGGGTTTCTCCTAGCCCTTCAATGTCCACCAGGTCACTATTGGCGTCCGAGTCGTTCAGAGCGCTGAGTGTCACATCTGGGGGTGGGGGTGTGGGGGTGGGAACATCAACTGGGTTCTAGGTTCTCTGACTGCCCCCCAGCTTCCCAGAGCTTCGAGCTCCCCCTCCCTCTGCCCTCTCAGCCACTCTCTGGGAACCCTGACGGGGAGAGGAAGGGACATTTGTCCTTCCCTGGCCCAAGCCCGATTCTCCCACTGAACCTTCAGCCCCACAGCCCTCACCGGCCTTCTGTTTCTTTACGGGGGGGGCCCCGGCCTCAGGGACACTGGAGCTGCTTGGTGGAGGGGCGGCTGGAGGAGGTGACAAGACACCAGATGGCACCTTCTTGGGCCCTTTCTTGGGTGACTCGGCGGGAAGAGGGATGCCGGAGTCTTCGTACACCTTACGCTTCACGGTGGCCTTTATCTGGGCCCTGAAGAGAAGACAGAGCAGGTTAGGGAGGGAGTCCTGGGGAGACTGAAGGAAGAAGGGAGGGGAGGGAAGGGGTAATGGGCCATTCTGAAGGAACACTGGGAGCCCCTCCATAAGAATCTGGTTAGGGCCCCGGCCCTTTGGTAGGGTTCTCGTTTTCCTGAGGCTTTGCACGCGCTTAGGGCGGCTGGAATCTGAAGAGTGGACTCCCTGAGCTGAGTGGCGGAAAGGCCCGCGTCCTAATTCTCTTCCGGGGCGAAAGGCTCCCAGGTGAACCTTGGTGACCGACCGACAGGTATAGAGGGGGACTTATTGGCGGATCCTGATCAACTCATTCGGAATCACAATGTCCCCTCCAAGGAGCCGCGCAAACAACCAGAGAAGTTCCGGTTGTTGGGGATCTCAGGCGGCCCCCGCCCCGAGATTAAATTCTTGGGAGGTCCTGTTACCCCGGCGGTTCAGTTAACTTCTGACCAAACTCTTCCGCGGAGGTGCTAACAGAGCCGGCAGCGAGGTAGGAGGGCTGTCGAGCTGGAAGGGAGTTCTCGGGAAGGTGGACCTCGGGCTGGCTCGGGTGCGGTGGAAGACAGTGCCCACCCCCCCCTCCTCTGCCGGCCACCCTCCCTCACACTGTCCGTTCCTTGATGACACAGCTGATGTGATTAAGATCGTCCCCAAACCGCTTCACAGCAGCCCTCAGCATCTCTATCTCCGTCTCCGTCCACTTGGCGCTGTCAGAGGGGAAAGGGGGAACAGCGAAAGTGGGAAGGGGGGTGCGCAGCCAGCCCCCAAGCCTCCCCCGCAGGCCCTGGGGCCCCTTCCGTGGATCCCTAAAGAGGGCTTTCTTAAAAAATAAACAAATAAAAGCTCTTAACGCCCCGTGGGAATCCTGAGGACCCCCAAGCCTCTCCCCCAGGCACGTGAAGCGGCAGCTGTAAGCAGCCGGCGCAGACCCATCCGACCCGCGGGGGTCTCAGGGACAGAACCCCGCGCGCGGTGCGCAGGGGACCCCCCGGCTCTGCGGCCGCCGGCTCGCGGCAGGGGTTCCGGGTCTGGAGCCTCCAGTCTGCGCTGCTACCTGTCATTCCCTCATCCGACAGTCTTTATTCACACCGGCGAGCTGCCACCTGTCCCGGCCCCACGGAGTCCGCGCGCCCCGCGCTCACGTACCCCGCGGGGGAAGAGTCGGCCACGGGATGCAGCTGCATCGTCAGCTCCCCGAGCTTCGTGAAGGCGGCGCCCGCCGCCGAGAAGATCTCCCCGACCTGGGGGCGGGGCAGCGTCACGGGGGGCCGGCGCACCCCCCCCCCCAGCGCCCGCCCGCCCGGAGCCCCTGGCCCCACCCCGGCCCGGCTCCCGCCCGCCCCCCGCCTGGGGCGGAAGAGTCGGCACCAACGGGGGAGGGGGGGCCGCCCTCCCGTGGCCGCCAGGGAGCGCTGTCCGCGAGCGAGGGCGAACCTTCGTGGACGCTGACGTCATGGTCCCGCGCGCCTCCTCACGGAGACGCCGCCGCCGCCGCCGCCGCCTGGCCGGGACCACGGAGCCGGGCGACCGAGGCGCTCGGGCCCCCGCGCAGGAAGTCCCGCCCCCTCCGCCGCCGCCGATTGGCTCCCGCTCGGCCGCTCCGCCCACTCGCCAGCAGCCGAGGCTCGGGCGGCCCCGGGCGAGCCGAGGGCCGACGGTGGAAGACACCGCCTCACTTCCGGCCCGGCCTCACTCCACTTCCGTCGGTGCGTCGAGACTCCGGGTGTGGACACCGGCCTCCAGCCCCCGTGCCCGCCCCCCCCCCCACTCCGACCCAAGCACAGACACGAGGCTGAGGGGAGCGGTTTCGCTTTATTGTGGGGGGGGGGGTCAGGGAGGCCGCCTCCCTCAGCCGGGGAAGGAGCGATTCAATCTCGGCGCGGGGAAACCCGGTCCCGCAGGGGGCGCCGGAGTGGGGACGCGGGTGGGAGGGCTGGGAGAGTCTTTAAATAGAGGAGGGGGCCGCAGAGGGGAGGCGCGACGATGCTCTAGCGCACCATGTACTCCTTGCGCTTATTGAGTCGAACTTGGCAGAAGGAGAAGCCCCCGAGGAGGAGATAAAGGCCCGCGGCGATGAAACAGTTGTAGCTGACTCGCTCGTAAAGGTCATATATTTTCTGGGGGTCTTTCCTGGGGAGGGGGGGGGGAGATTAGGTAGTGAAGTGTCAGAAACCATCCAGCAGCCAACATTTACTGGGCACGGTGTGCCAGCCACCATTCTAGGCGCTTCTACACGTACTATTCGGGCTTCCTCCTAACCCTCTGGGGTGACCCCTATGATAGCATCCCCTTGGCAGAGGTGGATGGCGGCGCAGAGAAGTCAAGGAATATACCTAAGAAGCCACGCCTAAAGCGGTGGGTTTGGCATGGCCACTCAGGTCCGACTCCACGACCGCTAGGGAGACTTCTAGCCGTCTGCACTCAGCTCCCTCGCCTCGGGGCCCCAAGCACCCCGCCACCTGTAATCCCCCGCCTACCGTTCTACTGCAGTTCAGCCGCCTCCCACCCCGCCCCCAGCCCCGCCTCTCCCACCTGACTTACTCAAAATCTTTCTCGGTGAAGGGGACGTCCTCTATTAGCACAGCCGAATGGACGTTGAAAAAGATTCCGAGCATTATCTGAAAAGGGAATGGTCTGGTGGGTGAACCCAGGCACCGAACCTGCTCACTGTCTAAACTCCTCCCACTTCTAATGTTGCCACAACATCTGGATTTGGGCACTACCGGAACGAGCTGGGATTCGAGTAGTTGTTGCCGGATTCGGACTCAGTCACCAGGAATAGGGCGCTGAGTCGGTGACGGAGACGGCTCGGCTGGTGCAAGGGCAGGAATAGTGAGCAACCCAGATTATCCTCTTGTCCAGGGGCGTCATTATCACGGGACGGGGAGGAAATCAGCCCTTCTGAGTATTTCTTCCTGGAGGGGGGCGGGTAGTCGTGGGGGAAACAAGGGCCCCGCTACCCATTTCGGGAACAAGCGCTCCCTTGCCCCACTGCCCTCTACTCAGCGCAGGCGTCTCTCAAGACCCCCAGCTCGTCTTCCTCCTACCTTGAGGGGTCTCCAAATTTACCAGCCGCGGCTCCCGTTCCCAGCCTCGTCTGCCTCCCGCCCCTTTAAGTTCCCCATTTCTCAATCTCAAGTGTCTCGTCCTCCAGCGGGTAATCAGCCTCCCCCTTCAGCCTGCCTGCTGCTTCCTACGGCCCGGACTCTCCCAGCCTTTCCAGCCCTCCAACACTGGGGCGCGTCGGGCCCTCTCCGGCTCTCGCCGGCGGTCCCCTCACCAACATGATCACTCCCCAGGCGCTGAGGACGATGCCGCAGGCGGCCAGCTTGGGCCCACAGCACAGAAGCGACGCCATGGAGAAGGGGGTCGGGGGAACACCTAGTCGCGGGCCGAGCGGAAAGGCGGTGAGGCGAAGGCCCGGATGCGCCCGGGGAAAGCGAGCTGGACTTGGGGGCTCGCGCGGCGGAGGACGGGCCGCCGGGAGCGCAGCCGAGGGGGCGTGGCCTCCGGTCCCAACCATCGCGCCGGGGGACGCCGGGCGGACTTCGCTGGGCGCCTCCAGGCTCTCCCGGATCTCCGGCGGAGCGGGAGGCGTGTGAGGCCGAGACGGCCCCCCAGGAACCCCTCATGATCTATGTAGCTGGGGCGCGGATTATTGTCGGAGCAACGCCTCCGCTTTCTTGGTCACCCCCCGGCCCAGGCTGGAATGGGAGGACCCAGCGCGCCACGTGACCGAATACTGCGCGTCACGTGACGAGGAAGCAGCGCAGCGGCGCCCGGGGAAGGAGTAGCTCTGGCGGAGCTTCTAGCAACCGTGGCGTCGGGCCCTGAGGCGCGCAGGATTGGAGCTCCTCGAATTTTCCCCCTCAGATACGCTAGTTGCGGGTGGTGTCCCGTGATGGGGGGCATGGTAAGTGACACATAGGGATTTACACCGAGAAAGACCGCCTCTATCTCCTTTTTTCTCATCCCTGCCTTTAAAAATAGATACTCTGACACGATGAAAGGAGATAGGAGCCCCTTCCCGAGGCCAAGCGTGCAGTCGTGGCCAGGAGGCTTCAGAATTGAAGGCTCTTAGCATCGGGAATCGTTAAGTCACGTTTTGTTACCAAACGCAGAATACTGAATGGTTCAGGATGCCCCAAACCCAGGAGAAATGCGGGGCGTTAGGAAAAGTCTCGGGAAAACAGACTCCGTGAACATGCTGTGTGTGTAGGGGGAGTGGTCTTGCCAAATGTTTTTGGAGAAAGGAGTAAGTACACCAAAGTGACGCCACTTTGCTTCCCTGCTGCGTGCGAACCACGGAAAGTGATCATAGGCCCCTTGAATAAGGTGTAGGGCACAAGACTTTAACAATGGGAATCGATCACCCACTCCGAGGAGAAAGCTTGTCTACTTCACTGGCGAGGGGCAGGTTTGTGAGAATTGTTTAGGGAGCTAGGGTGTTTGGAGAACACCGTTTTCTACTGAGCCCGTTGTACCCATTCTAGTGAGGGCAGTGATCCACCGCATAATCGAGAGGGGGCTATTTTGATCCCGAGACCCCAAGGGCTCTTAGCATCGGGAATCCTTAAGTCACGTTTTGTTACCAAACGCGAAGAAACACTGTGTCCGTGATTAGAACAACTTTGTGGTACTTTTTCCCCCGTTTATTTAATGCATATCATTCTGAAACAGGTTGTGAGAAAGAACTTGAATCCTGGGAAACACAGACCCTGGGATACCAAAGGAGCTGGGAAAGTGGCCTTGGGACATGAATTTCATGCCTCCCGTGCTTGAGACTGGCAGAGGTGGTGGTGGGGGAGGGGGGGAAGCCATCAAGGCACGCGGGTGTTTATTTTGCCCAGGAGCATCATTGTTACTCAAGGGCCTTTGGGGTAGGTGTGCAAATAGGGGGAACAGGGTGGAGGGGACGTTGCCAAAAAACAGAGGCAGGAAGATTTAAGTTGGCCACTCCGCAGGAAGTCTAGCTCCTGGGAAAGGAGAATTAGTTGAGGTAGTTGATTTATCCAAGAAACCTCCGAGAGGTTCTGTGGAACCGTTTTTGCAGAGCAGGGGCAGTGCCTCAGGCTAGCGCAGAGCAGCCCCAGGCAGGTCCCCCCACTGCGGGTTAAATCGAGCCCACAGTCTGTGCGGGTCCATCCAGCAAAACACCAGGTTTTCTTGCATTTCTAAATGGTTGGCTAAGCCAAAAGAAGAAGACCGTCTTGTGACACTTTGAAGTTCATATTTCACGGCTCATAAGTGCAGTTTTACAGGAGCACAGCGACACCTCATTTCAGTGACCTATCGTCTGTGGCTGCTTTTGTGCCGTTTCGGGACCGTTAAGTGGTTGTGACAGAGACCGCGTGGCCTGCAAAGCCTGAGACATTTATTGCTGGCCCTTTACAGAAAAGGTTTGCAGCCCCCCGGACTGGTGGGACTGGTGGGATACTGACGTGGGGGCTTTAGTTGGGGGGAGAGAGTAGAGCTTTAGCAGCAGAGACTGGACTCCTGGAAATTCCAGATGAAGCATCGGCACTAGCGTGGATCTGAAGGCCTCCAGGCGGGGGCGCCCTAGAGCTCAGATGGTAACACTGTTCTCTATGCGGCTGGGCCTCAGGTAGTCGTAGGGCAGGTCCACTTGTGCATTCCGGGCTGTGATCTCTCTTTCTAAGTTTTCCAGATCTGTTTGGAATTGGCTTAATACAGCCTTGGCCTTGGGGCTTGAGAAATACTTTTCTTTGTGGTGCCCCAGAGGTACCTGGGAAAGAACAAAGCGTCGGTCAGTTTCTAGTCCAAAGGCAGAAGCATGCAGACCCTCACTCTCATGTCTCCCTTCTGACTTTTCCCAGAGTCCTGTCTCACCATGTCTGGCTGGCGGCGACCCAGGTGCCACGTGATGGTCATTTGAAGACAGGCCTGTCGGATGTCAGGTAGTGAGCCCATCACTGTGGCCATTTTCACGTCTTCCTTGGTCGTGGGTGGGGGCATCCGCATGGTGCACGGGGCGTTAGGGACCCAGGCGTACCAGTCCAGCTGGGGGAAGAAACTGCAAGCCTAGGGTCCTGGTACTTCTGCTTGGAACCCCCGTCTTTCCCTTGGGAATCCCAAGGTCCGACACTTGCCTTCGGGGACCCGGGCTGCCGGCTGTCATACCTGGCCCTGGTTGATGGCCCCGTGCTGGGCAGTGCAAGTGAAGACGCACATCGTAAGGAAATGACAGAGCTGACTCTGGGACTGGAAGGAGGCAGGGAAACCTGGGCAGAGAGGAAGGGGGTTTGGAGGCTACGGCCGGAGAGGAGAAACCTGAAGGCTGACGTCTTGGGATGTCTGCACCACTCGGGGTTGAACTGCACAGGTCCGCTTATGTGTGGGCTATTTACCGTGCGGTATTACACATGTATGCTCCTTACGGTTTTCTTGACGTTTTCTTTTCCCTAGCTCGCTTTATCGTCAGAACACAGCATATGATAACATAGAACACACAAAATACATGCTAATTGACTGTTTATGTTACTGGTAAAGCTTTCGGCCAACGGTAGGCTCTTGGTAGTGAAGTTTTGGGGGGAGTCAGAACGTAGATGCAGATTTGTAACTGCTGGGTGTGTGGGGGAGGGTCGGTGCCCTCACCCCTGCGTTATTTAAGGGTCACCTGTGTTTTGGCATTGATGGGTATTTGTTCCTTTATTCAGATATATTTGCATTAGATGTGAGTTTCAATTCAGGTTCAAGCAATAATATTTGGGTGCCTTAGACCAATGACTTAATCTCTCTGAACCCCGGTTTCTTCACCTGTAAAGTGTGGGTGCCACCTGCCTTATAAAAGAGATAATGCATTGAAGTCACCTAATACGTTATAAATTCTCAATAAATAATAATTATGATTATTACGGAAGGGTTGGGGGTGAACAGCTCTGACTGATAGAATATCTTCTGCCTCAAAAAGGGGTTAAGAATTTAGGGATGTTTCCTCCTACTCTGGGACAAGGGCATTATAAGTGTCTGAGTTACAAGGTGAGGATTACGAGAAGTCCCGTGTTCGTGGTGTCATGGCCAAGAGAGGGTTTCCACAAGGGTTGTCTCGGGCCACTGGTTTTACAGTGGAGGTGGGGACTCAGAGACCCAATTATCCTGTTAAGAGGAACATATATAATCACTCCCCTTCTGTAGATTAAAAAAAAAAAAATCAAAGACCAGAGAGATTAACCTGCTGGGCAGGATCCCGTCTTTGGGAAAAGGCAGAGGCTGACCTTGAACTCCGGGTCCTGACTGCTTTTCTCAAGCTGTTTTTAATTTTAGCACATTTCCTCTAGAAAGGCTATCGGGGAAAATTAGGCAAAGAGCACCATGAGAACCGGGGTGGGGTGGGGGGGGGAGAGGGGAAAAGAGAGAATGAGAGGCAGTCGGGGGAGATTAAAGCTGCCATATGAGTGTTTATTTTTATCTTCCAGCTGTAGATGGTGGTTGAGAGGAGATGGCCAGGGAGAGGAAGAAGGGTTTTCTGGGACTGAGGTGTACCAGGGAAAGTTTGCCCCGGAAGGGGGAGTGTAGGCATTGGTTTATCGCCCACTGTACCCCCAGGGCCTGGCCAGAGCGGCTCCCCGGACGCAGGATGCCCGAAGGATGATTTCAAGCGGTCCCTGCTGGCCCGTGTGTGCTGGAGAGGGAGGATGGACCCGCCAAAAGCCGAGAAAAGCTGTGTCTTCCCCAGAGGTTAAAGCGCAGGTGGGGGTGCCAACGGCGGAGGCTAGATCTCGGCCGAGGGGAAGGGAGGCCAGATTGGCCTCGGAACCGGGACCCCGAGGGGCAGTGCATGGAGTTCAGGTCTGTGCCAAGGCGCGGACGGTGCTGAGTGTGCCCCAGATGTGACCGTGCACCGTGGGCGTGTGCAGTACGCCCAGAGCGTGTGCACAGAAGCAGGAGGAGAAGGCGGGGAAGCTGAGTGCCGGACCCCGGGCCTCGGTGGAAAACTCACCCCGTTTGTATCGCATGTAGGAAAATAACCACGAGGAGAGCACGGGAGCCCCAGCGGGACCCGGGCACGTCCCACCCTGGCTGTGGTCCTGGTCTTATCGGGCCCCCGTGCTGTGGCGGATTAGGGGCATCTGTGACTTGGGCTAGGGGATGGCAGTAAAGATTGATGGCCAGGGTCTCTGCGGAGGACAGTCCCTGGGTATCTGGAATTATCTTCAGTTCGGAACGGGATTCCGAAGCTTCATGCGGGGCTGGAGAGGGGGGTGTGGTGAGGGGTTGGGGCCTGAACCCAGAGGGGCAGGACCGAGATGGGGCTCCTGTCTCTGGGGAGGGTCCTACCTCGGTCCTGGGCCTGGCACAGCCCCACCTCGGTGATCTCCCGGCACCAGGCCTGCAGCTCAGGGTCCCCTCTCACGACGTCGTCCCTGTGGTAGAAAAGGCGGACGATGCCCTGCACGTACCTGCCCAGAGGAGAAGGGGCTGAGCTCCTTGAGGGGAGAAGGCGCCAGCCTCTGACCTCTACTCCCTTCCTGCGGCCTCTGCCCAGCTGACGCTCACTGTTTGTGGGGACAGGTCTTACCGGCGTTGTCTTGGGGGACGTTCCCTAGCTCTTTCCAAACGCTAGTTTAGAAAGGAAGGAAACGTGTGCCATTAGTTTTAAGAGTTCTGGGGGCGCCTGGGTGGCGCAGTCGGTTAAGCGTCCGACTT